TCCTTTTAATTTTTGTTTCCTTGATGACATGATGTGGCATATCTGTTCATTTGCTTATTTGCCATCTGTATATCTTCTTAGGTGAGGTTTAGGTCTGTGGCCCATTTCTTTGGTTGGGTTAACTTATTGGATTTTAAGAGTTCTTGGTATATTTTGAATATAGTCCTTTATCAGATGTGTCTTTTGCAAGTATTTTTTTCCACTCTGGTTTGTCTTCTCATTCTCTCATTCTCTTGATAACTTTTAATCTATGTATGTCTTTTTTTTTTTTTAAATTTTTTTATTTGTCAGAGAGCACAAGCAGGAGAGCGGCAGGCAGAGGGAGAAGCAGGCTCCCCACTGAGCAAGGGAGCCCGATGCGGGGCTCGATCCCAGGACGTTGGGATAATCTATGTATGTCTTTATATTTACATTTAAAGTGGGCTTTTTGTAGACAACATATAGTTGGGTCTTGTTTTTTGATTCATCTGACAATCTGTGTGATAATTGGTACATTTAGACAGTTGGCATTTACAATGTCTGTTGACCTAGCTGGATTAATATCTACCATATTTGTAATTTTTCTAATTGTTACCCTTGTTCTTTGTTTACAATTTTGCCTTCCTGTTTTTGCCTTCCACCTTTTTTCTGCCTTTCAGTGGATTTTAATTGAGCATTACATATGATTATATTTTCTCTTTCTTAGCGTATCAGTTACACTTTAAAAAAAACAAACTTTTTTTTAGTGCTTGCTCTGGTGTTTGTGATACATATTTACTACTATTCCAAGTCCACTTTCAAATAACACTGTGTCCTTTGTGGGTAGTGTTGGGTACTTTATAATAACAAAATAATCTTCATTCTTCCCTCCAGTTCCTCATATCATTGCTTTCATTCATTCCACTTAAACGTAAGCATATAAATAAACATACACAGTCAAACACAGTGTTGTTGTTCTTTTGAACAAACTTGTCTGTTAGATCAATAAGAAAAGAGTTCTTTTAATACCTTCACTTATTCCTTTGATACTGTTTCTCTATGTAAATCAAGTTTCTGACTTGTATCATTTTCCTTCTCTTATCTAAAAAACTTATTTCTTGCAAGGACAGTTCTACTGGTAACAAAGTTCCTCAATTTTTGTTTGAGAGTTTATTTCTCCCTCACTTTTGAAAGAGAATTTTGCAGAGTGCGGAATTTTAGGTTGGTGGGTCTTTCTCTCTCAACATTTTACGTCACTCCACTCTTCTTGCTTACATAGTTTCTGAGAACTCAGATATAACTCTTATCTTTGCTCCTCTGTAGATAAGGTGTTTCTTTTTCCTTTGGCTTCTTTTAGGATTTTTTCATCTTTGATTTTCTGTAGTTTGAAAATGATAGGTATAGATACAGGGTTTGGGGCATATCCTGCTTGGTGTTATCTGCGTTTCCTGGATATGTGGTTTGGTATCCGCCGTTAAGTTGAGGAAGTTCTCAGTCCTTACTGTTTCAAATATTTCTGTTTCTCTTCTTTGTTATTCCCATTATGTATATGTTACACCTTTTGTTGTTGTCCCACAGTTCTTGGATATTGTTTTTCTGTTTGGGTTTTTGTCTCTCCCTCCACCAGTCTTTTTTTTTTTTTTTTTTTCCTTCCTTCTTTGCTTTTTAAGTTTTGGAGGTTTCTGTTGTGATATCCTCACATTCAAGAGATTCTTTCCATAGCCATGTCCAGTCTATTAATTAGCCCACCAAAGGCATTCTTCATTTGTCACAATTTTTTTTCATCTCTAGCATTTCCTTTTGATTTTCTTAGAATTCATCTCTGCTAACATTGCCTATCTGCTCTTTTATATTGTCTTCTTTATCCATTAGAGCCCTTAACATATTACAGTTGTTTTAAATTCCCAGTCTAATAATTCTTCCATCCCTGCCATATCTTTGTCTGGTTCTAATGCTTGCTCTCTCATCAAACTGGTTTTTGCCATGTATGTGTGTATGTATTTTTTATTTGTCTATTTATCTAAATATTTATCTGTTTATTAAGTTGGCTCTAAGCCCAAAATGGGGCTTAAACTCATGACCATGGGATCAAGAGTTGCATGCTCTACTGACTGAGCCAGCCAGACATCCCTGTTTTTTGCCTTTTAGTAATGTCTTTTTTTTTTTTTTTTTTTAGTGGACATGATGTACAGGTAAAAGGAACTGTTACAAATAGGCCTTCAGTAATGTTATGGTAAGGTGTGGGAATAGGGGAAGCATTTTATAGTCTTATGATTAGGTCTTGGTCTTTTAGTGAGACTTAGACCTCTGGACTGTAAACTTCACATGTGCTTCTTAATTTTTTCTCCCCACTTTGGTGGGATAGGGTGGCTAAAGTGGGCTGCCTGCCGGTCAGTTAGGCTCTGATAAAACCCTTCTGTAAGGTAGGTTCTGGTTACTTTTTTGTGAGCAGACCTTTCTAAAGACAGTGCTCCGGCATATTTCAGAGTGGTTTCTTTTCCCCTTCCTCTGCTAGAAGCATGGGATTTTTCTCCAATATTCACTGTGAGAAGCTGGTAGAAGGAGGTAAAACAAAAGTATGGGGGCTGTTGGAGCTTTTTACTGGGTTGTCCATACTGAGCCTCTAGCAATTCAATTACAGTTCAAGTGTCGCTACCCCGGTACTGGGTCGCACAGAGATTACTGTTCCCGCAGGTTGTGATTCTCTGTATTCACCTGTTGGGCTCCAATTTGGGGGGCATCAGTTTGCCCTGTGACATTTATGGACCTAGGAATAGTTGTTGATTTTCCAGTGTGTTCAGTTTTTGACTTCTCATTAGGACAGAGTGGCAACTTCCAAGCTTCTTACATGCATGCTGTACCATAAACCAGATGTCCTGAATCAAACTTCCTTAAATGTGAATGTTCTCATTCTTGGTATGGAGGTGAAAGTGACTTCTTTTTTTTTTTTTTTAAAGGTTTTATTTATTTATTTGAGACAGAGAGAATGAGAGACAGAGAGCATGAGAGGGAGGAGGGTCGGAGGGAGAAGCAGACTCCCTGCCGAGCAGGGAGCCTGATGCGGGACTCCATCCAGGGACTCCAGGATCATGACCTGAGCCGAAGGCAGTCGCTTAACCAACTGAGCCACCCAGGCGCCCGGTGAAAGTGACTTCTGACTTGTCATTAGAAACAAGTGCTTATGCTTCCTGGTGGCCTATTGTATGTTTCAATAATGTAAATATTAACTAATTTACCAACTTTGGTAGAATTTATGTGAGAACTTAGGTTGAGTTATAACGAGCAAATGGTTGGTATATCTGCCAAGTATATTATCTGAAAATCTGGTATAGCGGAAAATTAATGAAACAGTTCTAGAGTCTGATTACCTATTCAGATGATTGAATTCTGAGAAAGTGACTAGAAATAATCTACTACCAGGATCAGTAGAGTTAGTGTTATCCCTGGGATAGTATTGGTGCGCCAAAAACTCTTCCCAAATGACATTTATTTATATTACCAGCTTCATTATTTTTAGAAAAATGGTAGGAATGAAATAATAGTCTTAATTTGTAATCTCATTAAGGCAATCTAGGTATTTTACTTTAAAGGCAACATTAATATAAACATGGAATTGATGAGGACCTGGTTCTAAAATTTACTCCTGAGAATTTTTTTTTTTTTTTAAGATTTTATTTATTTATTTGAGAGAGAGAGCACATGGGGGGGGGAGGGTCAGAGGGAGAAGCAGACTCCCTGCTGAGCAGGGAGCCCGATGCAGGCCTTGATCCCGGGACTCCAGGATCATGACCTGAGCCGAAGGCAGTCACTTAACCAACTGAGCCACCCAGGTGCCCCACTCCTAAGAGTTGTTTAAGCCCAGCATATTCTTGATAAATTTCTTCTTCTAGCATATATGTCATGACATTGTATTCATTGTGCCTAACTTGAAGTTACCACTACTTGAAGGTTACTTGGCTGCTTTTGTTTCTTACTATCTTACAAATATCCCTTTATCCCTGTTTCCACAAACCACATAAAAAGTTTAAGTGGCTATATTCTAGCAACAAAAATTCTGAGTAATCAATAGCAAAAGTAATAATCTGGACTCAGGTAAAGAATAATTAAGGCAGGGGTACCTGGGTGGCTCAGTCAGTTAAGCATCCTACTTGATTTTGGCTCAGGTCATAATCTGAGGGTTGTGAGACTGAGTCCCATGTCAGGCTCCGTGCTGGTCATGGAGCCTACTTAAGATTCTCCCTCTCCCTCTATCCCTCCCCCACCTCTCCCTCTCTTAAAAAAATAAATAAATAAAATGCACAGATGCTTGTGAGGTCCTTTGTGTTTTAAAGGACAGTGGAGTCAGGTGTCTTCTTGACCTTGTCAGGTATTTCCGCATTGTTCTCATGGTATTCTTTCAATTATATTGGGCATTTATTTAAATGAATTTATTTAAATTCAGTTGGTGTTTGGAGGCTTAGCACTGCCATCTGCAGGCAGGGAGTTAGCTTTCAGGAACTGACCAATCCGTTGGTGGCCGTGGCTCTTTCTTTCAGGCTGGGTTGAGTGCCATGCCAGTAATAGAGATGTATATAGCACAGACTGGGCCTGCCTAGCCTTGAAGAGGTGAGGAATGATGATTTTTAAAAGCGGGCCCGGGGAAGGGTTGCCCAACAAAAAGGCAATGCAGTTTTTAAAATGGGCTCCAAATATATACAAATGACAATAAGCACATAAAAAGATGCTCAACATAGGGGCGCCTGGGTGGCCCAGTCGGTTAAGCGTCTGCCTTTAGCTCAGGTCACAATCCTAGGGTCCTGGGATCCAGCCCCTCGTCGGGCTCCCCGCTTGTGCTCTCTCTTGCTATCTCTGTCTCTCTCAAATAAATAAATAAAATCTGTAAAAAAAAAAAAAAAAAAGATGCTCAACATCATTAGCCATCAGGTAAATGCAAATCAAAACCAAAATGAGATGCCACTTCACACTAGGATAGTTGTAATAAAAAAGATAACAGGTGTTAGGATGTGGAGAAATGGGAATCCCCATACATACATTGCTGGTGGGAGTGCAAAATTGTGCAACTACTTCGGGTAACAGTCTGGCAGTTCCTCAAAAGGTTAAATATTTTCCGTATGATCCAGCAATTCCATTCCTAGATACATGCCCAAGAGAAATGAAAACATGTACACTCAAAAACTTGTACACAAATGTACAGCATTATCCAGGGAGGCCAAATTGGAAGTAATCCAAATGTCTTATCAACTGATAAATGGATAAATAAAATATGGTATGTCCATACAGTGGAATATTATCATAAAGGAATGAAGTACTGATACATACTACAATATAGAAACATATTAAGCGAAAGGAGCTGGTCAGAAAAGGCTACATAATTATATGATTCCATTCATATGAAATGTCCAAAATAGGCAAATCCATAGAGGCAAAAAGTAGGTAAGTGGTTTCAAAGAGCTGAGAGGAAGGGGGAATGGAGTGATTGGTAATGAGTATGGAGTTTATTTCTGATGCCAGTCTTTGACAATTGATTTCACATGCAGTAACAGAAACCCTTAAAGAGAAAAAATAAAGATCAATTTTGGATTGAAGAACCAAAGCATTGTGGGATTCTTTCATTTAGGATGAAGAAAAATGACACAAGCCAGGCTGCAAAAAGGCAAATTTTTTTAGATATGTAATAAAAGGACATGAAAGAGGTAATATAATTCAATTATTTAGAATACTTAAAAATTCTACAGCTTCAGCAGAAATATTTTTCTTTGGTTTAAGATATTCAAAATACTATACTTAACCCAGCTTTTCTGAGAAAGATCAGCTTTATTGCTGAATGCTTTTGTCCCTGGATACACCATTTCTCCAAACTATTCCACAGGAAATAAAGATTATATATAATACTCTTTTAAAAGTGTGTATATTGTTCATCCAGTATAAGAACGCCAAATGAAGCCTATCCAATTCCCTACTGAACCGTTTTCAATTTCAAGAACATAAATGAGATGAAACCAAAAATGCAAACTAGGAATACTTCAAATGTAGTAAGATGAACATCAGCAACAATCTAGGATAAGACCATTAAAGTGAGTTACTGGGCAAAATGGATTGTGTTATATAAACCCTTTGACATACACTCAACACAAAATGGACAAGATGGAGATAAATGATAGTTTTTAGTGAAGTTTCTCAAGGAAATTGAAGATTATGAGTAAAAACCTAACACTGACAATACAAACATGGATTTTAACAGCTGAGAGTTTGTTAGAAGCATGAATCCAGCTGTTAGGTGCTAGTTATGTTGAAGGTGGTATCAGCCAGTTGAACTTAGTATTTAGTTTAACTAAATACTAAGATTTAGTATTTTAAGGTCTAGAATTTAAGATTACTTTATCATTTATATGTGAAGTGTTAATTTTAGCATCTGGCTTCAGTATTATTCAATACACTATGAAGATGGCCAACCTGTAAAATAATTTTGTTCCATATTATAATTTTTTTTTTAAAGATTTTATTTGACAGAGAGAGACACAGTGAGAGAGGGAACACAAGCTGGGGGTGTGGGAGAGGGAGAAGCAGGCTTCCTGAGGAGCAGGGAGCCTGACGTGGGGCTCGATCCCAGGACTCTGGGATCATGACCTGAGCTGAAGGCAGACGCCCAACGACTGAGCCACCCAGGCGCCCCTCCATATTATAACTTTTAATGTATTAGCTCGATGTTTTAAAAAAATGTATTACTAAAGCTTATCTTGAATTACAGATTTTCTTTTCAAAACCTAAGTTTCTTAATAAGCAGAGTTTTATCTTTTTGATGATTATGCATTATAACTTGGTGAGTTATATTCAGCCACAGCCATCTCAGTTTCTCAGGAATTCGTATTTAGGCATTCTTGCTATCTGCTGCTCTGTACCTAAAATGGGATTTAAAAAGTGTTAGGTAATAGTGGAGCATGGCTAAACCATTTAAAGACCGATGTTAGTAAGCAAGTTCCTTCTCTGAAATAAATCACCAAAGTAGACCCATATTTTTAAAGTGACCTTGTTTTTGGTTTGTTTTAGGCTGCTTAATCTTTTCAATTTATTTACACTCCAGGACTTTTGTATTTTTTATAATGTTTTTCCTCCAAATCTCTACCAAAGAAGCAATGAGACTGACCTTTGCAACTTGATACAAGCTTGTAAGATTAAGTAGAAATTGCTGAAGATGAGCTCTCTGGAAAAAAATAGAGGCGGTTGGGTAATCCACTGGGAACAATCTAGTTCATGACTGCAACAACATAATAAGATTAAACAAGATAAACATGCCTTGGTAGAGGTAGCACTTCATATCCACTTGGATGACTATAATCAAAAACACCTAAGTTAGTGAGGATGTGGAGAAACTAACTCTCATACAGCACTGGTGGGAATGTAAAATGGTGTAGCCACCGTGGAAAACATTTTGGCAGGTTCTCAAAAGGTATATAACCAAAGGAATTGAAAACAGGTGTTCAAACAAAAATGTATACGTGAATGTTCATAGGAACATTATGCACAATAGCCAAAATGTGGAAACAACCCAAACATCCATTTGGATAAATAAAATGTGGTAGAACCATACAATAGAATATATTCAGCCATACAAAGGAATGAAGTACTGATATATAAAACATGGAAGAACTTTAAAAACATTAAAGAAAGCCAGACACAAAAGGTCATATATTGTATGATTCCATTTCTATGAAATGTCCAAAATAGAGAAATCCATTGAGGCAGGAAGCAGATTAGTAATTGCCAGTGTCTGGAGGGGAGGAGGAAATGGTATGACACGACTTTATGGGTCAGTGTTCCCTTTTGGAGTGATGAAAATGTTTTGGAACTAGTTGGGGATAATGGTTGCACAACAGTGTGAATACAAATGTACTAAATGCAGTGGAATCGTACATTTTAAAATGGTTAATCTTATTAGTGAAGTGTGAATTTCACTTCAATTAAAAAATGCTTTGGTATTATCATCTCAAAATATAGTCTTATTGTTCTCAAGTTCGTACTAAAAAATCACCCAGTACAGCTCTAGTACCTTCCATGCTAAAGCATGTACTTTCTCATTATGGGACCATAGAATTTGATTACCCAAATCAGTTAAAAATCTTAAATTGTTTCCTCTCCCTAAATGAAATCTAGGTGTTTCCTTCTAGTACTAGAGTAAAATATTAAACTTTCAAAACATTTAAATGTTTTTGAATTGATTAGAGAATTAGTGTTGGCTATAATTTTTTAGGATTTTCCCTATTGTGTTGTCATTTGGATTTTATGATACACTAGTAATGCAGACCTCTAATTTTCATTAATATGGATTTTAGTTTTCCCTCAAACCAGTTTGTAGGGGACCTCTGCCTTTATTGTACAGTTGAAGAATAGGAGATCTAATGATATCAACTTCCACGAGGAATATCTTCCGATGATGGTGTTCTTTGGACCCTCTCCCTTGTACTGTTTCTCAAGATACACCTCCAGACTGAAACCACCATGCCAAATTCTGATTATCAGCCCTTAGTTCGCTCAGAAAGTCACCATCCAGTGAAATACTTGGAAATTTAAAACTGATTTTGGTATTCAGAATTTTAAAGAACATCACATTACAGCCAGAAATGATTTTTTTGCTAATGTATTACAAACTACTAGTGTATATTTCTGCAATGGCCAATTGTGCAAGAGTTTATTTAACAGGACAGTGTTCTATAATTTTCTTAGTCTTTTATAATCAATTAATATAAAATTTTGGAGTGTTAATTCCTATGGCAAGAACTTGTGACATCATAAAATGGGTTCACCATAGAAAAAGAGGTGCTACACTTTCCATACTTTATTAAATGTACTAAAAAATCCAAATAGAAAAATTCAATCACAAAGATGGCTTTAATCAAACATTTCTGAATAAAACTTTATTCTAACTCATGAATACAAGGTAATTTTGGTATCCTATTTATACAATTTTCTTAGTGTTGTTCCCTACCCTTGGACTCCATTCATACTAATATATCTGTATACTGGAGATTTGACCAGAGCATACAGCACTTCACAATAATATTCTACAGTCTACTATTCTGAAATGCCAATATAATCTGATCACACACTGAGCAAATATCAAAGTTAAAGATTCAGGATGTGGAATGTTTGATAAGTGATTAGTTCTTCCGACCAGAGTTCAATCTAGCTAGCCATGGTGTTAATACAGAATCTGAATGTTTTCCTCAAGGGCATGAGTGAGCATGTCATGTTACAATTTCTTCTTTCAAAATGTTTCTCAGCTTTTTGCTTAGAAACTTTGTTTCCTCTCACGTTATTTTAAGGGTCCTGTCAACATGTTTGAAAGCAGACCAAAAACATTTTAAAAAGGAAGAAAACAATATATATTTTGCAGAAGGATTAGATTCTGGCTTTAATATATTCATGTATTTGTGAACTGATGTTAAAATGCTCTCAAAAATGTTATTTAGGAAGGCACAATTTGGTAGCATCAACTTTTTATAGCTTTTTCTAATCAAGACCCCAGAAACTGCCACTTTAATTTTCCCCTTCCAGTATTTTAAATACTTCAAGGTTCAAACTGAATTGTAAGTAAAACTCATTCTCAAACTTACTAAGACTTAACAATACATTGGCTAGTGAGCAGAATATGAAAGTACAGCCTACTTTATCAAAAGAGAAAAGTTCTTATGGTATTGGGTTTAGAGATTAGTAACGAATTTGGGACAAAAGCTCTCATGACTGTGGAAAATCAGAATTCTTGAAGTGAGTGGGCTTTTAATATCTAAGCTATAGAAACTAAATGCAGAAATATGAGATATTATAGTTATCCCGAACATTAAAAAAGTAACAGCTAAAGCATTACAAATAAGGTATGGTGATAACTGAGTTAGAAGAGCTCAGTTACCACTCGAGGCTAGAAACTAATCACTAAAACCGTAATTTCTAATTTTAAAAAGTTTGGCTTCATATTTAAATTTTTTACAGTATATAAATTATATATACAATGTTTTCCTATAACTCGAACTATAATACTCAAGTATATAAAAAGAACGGTTTGTTTCAGAAATGCTCAAAAGCCCCACAAATCCCCCTTCTATTTATAAAAACCAACAATTTCAAAAATTCTTCCAGCAAAGAAATGCTCAGTGGTTCACCCAAAATGTCAAGCCCATATCAGTAGGCAGTTTCTCATAAAGTAATTTATCATGCTGCATTCTGTAGTATCATACGGTCAAATACTCTATTGATTTATGAACATTTTTCATGGGCAAGAAAATGGGATCAAGTTGAATATGTTGTTATTCACTTTGAACACTAAATTGTGCTTGCATCCTAAAAGTTCAAATGAGCTGCAGTAAGAATAAGAATTTAAATGTCCATTTGAACCATATACTAAAAAGTAAAATCCTAAAAACAAAAGTATGATAATACCTTATGTTAACTGAAAAATTAAAGATGAGAAGCAATTAACAATTGGTGATGGCATATTTTAATCTTCTGTTAAAGCTCTGAAGTTGTATTAAATTCTAGCCAAATTGAGGTAGAGGTAGACTCTAATGTTACTCCTTTCATGTGTCAGACTTAGGCCTCTCACTTTAACCTGTATGCATTTTTCCCTAATTATATAAACATAATTCAATTTGAAATGTGTTATGGTAGAAAAATTAAAAGAATCATTCAAATGGTTTTTTTTTTTTTTTTACAAAATTCTTAATTCCTATCTAAAAAAAAGGTACTTATAAAAATGTACATAATAATTCAATGTTCTTCCTGGGAGTCATAAATATATGTTTTTCCTTCAACCATAGGAAAAAAGAAAAGTGGAGAAACTACAAATATGAACAGTTGTGTAATGAAGACACCGGAACGTAACTAGTAGAGTAACAACATTTTGCCTTTGTATCTGTCTAGTTTTCTTCTTTAATGGTTATACATAAGCTGTGATTCATATTAGATTTCCTACTAAAGCAGACTTAAATTCCATTAAACATAAGTCTATTTCCATTTTACGAGACCAGTGCTCTAACCCCTGAGCTACGGAGCCCTGTCAGTCTATTTCCATTTTAAATCACATACAAGTGCTATGTGATCAGAGGGATGGGAAACACTAGGTAAGGCCTGGTGGGTGGTAACTTCTTCATGACTAGGTAATGGAATCACCTGTTCAACCTCTAGAGCATTTAAGTCAATGAAAATGTAATCCAGACATCCATGAAAGCCACCAACGTAATTTGTGTAAGCAGGTTCACCACAAGCACTTTTCAGTTTGAAGAAATGGGTAAGGGACATGTTGCACCGTTCCTCTTCCCCATTGGAAGCCCAGTCTTCATGATCCTCTGGGATGTTGCCATTGACAACAAAATGATACATTCCTGTTGATGGGGTACTATTAAAGTCTCCACAAAATATAACCGGTATGCCAGCATACAGGTCACACGAGACATGTCGAATGTGAGCCAAGGCTACTGCCATTTGAATGAGACGAATGTACCCACCTGTGAATATAAAAAACATTAATGTAAGTACTTTTAAAAGTTGCCTTTAAGAAGAAAAAAAAAAGCCCACAAACTACATACAGTATCTGGGTGACATTCAAAATATATATTTGGACGAGGGGAACTGGATGAAGGTGGCCCAAAGGTAAAAAAGAAACATTTCAGTTATGAGATACATAAGTACTATAGAAACATAAAGACCACAGTTAACAATGATATATGGTATATTTAAAAGTTGCTAAGAGTAGATCCTAAAAGTTCTCATACAAGGAAAAACATTTTTGCAGATCTGAGGTGAGGGATGTTAACTAAACTTATTATGGCAATCATTTTGCAATATATGTAAGTCACTGTGCTGTACACTTTAAACCTGATGCGGTTATGAAATTATATCTCAATAAAACTGAAAGAAATAAAAAAGATGTGTGTAAAACAGCCTTACTGACCTTAAGTTACCATGTTTACATCACTTGTGAAAACCACTAAAACCCACCTTTTGGATGCCAGTAGAGATGGGTATTAGCAACACATATCCTTTTAGAAGAGTCCTTTGTAGACTGAAGAACAGAAACCTAAAATAAACAAAGGGCCAAGAGTTCAGTTGCTGTCAATCTCCTGAATGTTTTTCTTTTTTTAAATTCAAGACTATATGATGAACTGACATTTCATAACCTTCCCTGTCTGAAAAGTATAATTGCAATTATGAAATTCAACTTTTGCTACAAGTTTCACGATACACATGAACAGGATTCAGCATAACATGTTTTAACAACAGTCCAACATAGAGGAAGTTAAGGATATTATTTTAGAGAACAACATTAAGGTTGGTGTTTTTAAGTGGGTAAAGGCAGGCTTTAGAGTCAGTCCCGCCTAGATGGAATACCCATTCTTAACCATTTTATAGCAGTGTGACCTGGAGAGAGACACTGTTTTCCTAAGTCAGCTTGGTCACTGGTTAGACACTATCATCCACCTCAAGGGGGACTGTTGTATGGATTCAACCAAATGAGCTTACACAGAGGTGCATGAAACACACTGGGTGCTTAAAAAAAAAAAAGGTAGCTACTCCAAAATCTTACTATGAACAAAATCAGTTACCTAAAAACTCTGGACAAATATACAAATAACATATTTTTAAAAAATTCTCTCCAACCAAAAACAAAAAAAACTAAGGCAGCTTAACACCCTGCTCAGTGATGATGTAATATATAAGTAACTGGGCAAGAAGAATCCTGGCTCCACACTTGTGTGAAATTGGACAAGTAAACTTGACAATTTCCCCATATATAAAATGGGAAGAATAACATCTGTAAAAATAGCAGGATTACTCTGACCAAAATTAAAATATTAATATTTGTGGAATACTTCATTAAATATGCCAGACACAATTACTAAGTACTTTTTTGTTTTGAGTTTTTATTTAAATTCCAGCTGGTTAACATACACTGTAATATTAATATCATGAATAGAATTTAGTGATTAAATTTTAAGTGCTTTAATGTGTCAGAACAGTGCTTGGCAAGTAGTAAGAAAACATTAATTAATTACTATGTTCTTGTATTCAGCATGCGTCTTTCCCACGAGATGGTAAGCACTATGAAAGTCCGTTTGTCTTGTTCAAACGTGCCTGGCACACTATAGGTGCTCAGTAAGTATTTGCTCAATGAATGAATGAAAGCTAACCTTTGTGTTGAAGATACAAGAGCAAACACCCTTCAGTAAAATCTGAAAAAATCTTCCAGGGCCCTAAAAATCGACGAGTATGTAAAGAGAATGGCAGAGGTGCTTTACCTGGAGGACAGAAGATCTCTGGAGCACCCTCTCCTGCGCAGACGGGTACAAAACGAGTTTCTCCAGCAGGTCTTTGTGAAGTGGGTCGGACTCCAGGGCTTCGTGGAAAGAAATGTCATGCTGGCTAAGGAGAGTGAATTTGGCCTTTCGGTAGAAAGTAGCCAGGCCTTCGTGCTGCTTGATTCTAAACACGCCCTCCAGCCCAAAGGCCTCGAGGGCCGGCACCAAGCTGTCTGTAAACACGCTGCGATCAACCTCTTGCAAACAGATGAGGTCAGCGTTGTAGCCCGTGAGCTCCTTCTGGATAAGGTTCTGGCGGTAGTCGAGTTCCAGGGCATAAGGGGCACAGTACGGGTACAGGACACTCCTCGAAAACTCAGTCTGGGCGTACGTGTCGGCCAGGAGGTTGTAAGAGACCGTGCGGATGAGAGAGTCGTCCGTCACCTTCTTGGTGTAGAGATGCCGGTGGTCAAAGGTGCAGGTGCCAGGCCCAGCCTCCACGGGACACACACTTTCCAACTCCCGGCTGGGCCCGAAGCGCTGCCCATTGCCTGGGGTGCAATGAAGCTTGAGTCGGAGCCCGATGTCGGCATTGGACGGCGTGTAGACGCGCTCGTTCACACCCGTCTCCGTCCAACTGGGAGAGGGTGAAGAGGGAGACAATGACGAGGGGCCCCCACCCTCAGGCTCTGCCGCTCCGGGTTTGGCTTCCTTGTACCAACGGAAGACGGAGCTGGCGGGATCCCCAAATTCGAGGCTGAGCTTGGGACACACCGGGAAACCGGCCATGATGTAGCGTGGCAACTGAAGCTCGGTGAAGGCGGGCGGGTTGCGCTCCACCTTGTACTTGACATCGCCGATCTGCAGCACCGCGCCGTCCTGCCAGGCGTCCACGTTGAGCACGTCTTCAGCCACTGCCTCCTCCCGGTAGTACAGCTTCACCACGGGCTCGCAGGCCGCAGCCGGCTCGGGCCCAGGCCCCGCACAGGCCACGCCGCCACCTGCATTTGGCCGGTTCTTCCTGCTCTTTTTGGCGGCGGCCGCCTTAGCGTGACCTTTGAGGGCATTGGTTGCTATCCGGCTGAGGGCCCGACCCAGCGGCTCGCTTTGGTCTCGCTGCATGTTCTTGTGGCTGCCGTCGGCCAGCGCGAACGACAGGCTTAGCTTAGGCTCCGAGGGCACACAGCGCACTACAGCGCGCTCCATGGCGCCCGCTGTCTCAGTCGCCGCCTCGGCCCGAGTGTGCCGCTCCACCGCCGTGCGGACCCCACGAAGCGCGGCGCGGGAACTTGGGAGCCTCCACATGAACCTGGTGGCCCAGCGGCCGCCAAGCCTCAGAGGAAGATTGAGGAGCTGCAGCAGCCGGCTCCGGGATCCATTCAGTCCCGTAACTTCCGGCCGGAGGGAGAGGGCACCAGGTACTTCCGCTCCGCACTTTCGCCAGGCCGGCTTAAATGCTCCCCTTTTCCGTAGCCACGCCTATCAATAATCCCTCCAACTTAATCTTTATCGTCAAATCGAGCCATAAAGAGGGGAAAATAAAGAAACTATAGAGGTGCCTGAGGGAAATATTGGACTCCATTTTTTAAAAATTTTATTTTATTATGTTACGTTAATCACCATGTTTTTATCGAAAGTGCAGTTATAGAGCTGAAGGAAAGGTGCGCCAAGCCGGAAGTCGTTGGGGCGGTGTCATGGTTCCGCTTCCCTCACGGAAGCCGGCGCTTTTTCTGGATTCTAGCCTCCTGCCTTGTCTTCCAGCTCCGCGGGGCTAAGCAGCGCGAGGGCGTGGAGAACTCGACCAGGATTGCCAGCCTGGCTCCGGCCGTGGAAAGCGTTGCCCAGTTCCCCTCCACCGCATTCTCATTGCCGCTCGCCCTTTCCGAGGTGTGGGTGGGTTTGTTTCAGAGCGGGCACGCAGGCGCACGGAGCTGTCTTTGTGGTAGTAACAAGTAACGTTATACAAGAATTACCATTTAGGGAGCGAAGACTATGCTAAAAACGTCATTTATCGTTACGAGGTCCAGAGTGATTAAGTTACCTGCTCAAGATCACAAAGACATTGCTGAAAGAATGGCAGGAGACAGAATAGCCAGTAAGAGAAAATGAGAAGTGTAGCCTTCACTGAAAACCAAAGGAAGAAAGTATTTCAAGAGTGATTTTGTGTTGAATATAATTAATATTCGGTGATTAACTGAAAAAAAAACCTTGAAAATTTGAAAGAACAAATTGAGAAGTCACTTCTGTCCACAAATGATCTAATTAGTATCCATTTTTCCTTATCCTACAACTAGAATGCATACTTAACTGGGCATCTAATAATAAGCCATACCTTACCCCCTGGCTTACCATGAAGAAAATAGGCTTTTGACTGTGTTCTAAAAGCAGGATGGGTTTTGCAATTATTTGAAATTTCTATGCGTGTCCTGCTCTGCTCCCACCCACCAAATATTTAATAAGGTGACCGGGTACTGATAGTTTATATGCACTTCGAGTCTACAGTATAGGTATAAAAGTCATTACTTTGTATAAACTAACATAAGGAAGAAAGTAAGTAAGTCTTGGTAGTCTAGTTGATAGTACCCCATTTAACAAATCAGAGTTTTGAAATGGCATTTTTCTTATCCACAGCACTTTCCTTCATGCAAATTTGCAGAACTCAGTCTTAAATCAGCCTGTATAAAGAAAGATAGAAGCCCTACTGGAAAATGTGAGTTTCCTTTAAGCAAACTGATGTAATTTAACAATTAGCAGTCTTAATCCTAGTTTTGAGACAGATGCCTTTAAGTGTCATACTTCTTTTAGTATATATATGTGTATATATATATATATATTTTTTTAATTTTTTGAAAGAGTAAAACAGACCCATGTGAAAAAAGGTAATCTTTCCACCACTGACTCCTGTGCAAACACACCATGTATTATGAATATATACATTCCTCCTACTTATTTACACAAATTGGAATATAGTATACCCATGGTTCACTACCTTCCTCTTTTTTTTTTTTTTTTAAATATTTTATTTATTTATTTGACAGAGAGAGAGACAGTGAGAGGGAACACAAGCAGGGGGAGTGGGAGAGAGAGAAGCAGGTTTCCCGCGGAGCAGGGAGCCCGATGTGGGGCTCAATCCCAGGACCCTGGGATCATGACCTGAGCCGAAGGCAGACGCTTAACGACTGAGCCACCCAGGCGCCCCCACTACTTTCCTCTTTTTGAAAGAGGACTTCAACTACCTCCATTTTGACCTCAAACTTTCTAATTGATTAAGTTCTTCCTTCCAGCTAATCTCTTTACACAGGCAAAAGACCCTGCAAGCAGTGCGCCTTGTGATGGGGAACCAAAACTACCCCCTCAAGCCATAAGGATTGCCCTGAGGCAGGAAGAACCCCCCCCCCGCCAATGATCCACCTGGCCTTTTCTGCCCACCTGCATGTACCCACTGACCTTTGTCCTACATTTACTTTATGTAAACCTAGAATGTTGTCCGCACTTTGGAGACCGTTTTCTGAGGCCACTGCTGTTGGCTTCAGTGAAATAAATCCCTTTCTTGTTTCACCATCACTCATCTCTCTGCCTTTGGAGTTTGTCTGGGGTGAGTGGTCAAACCTGGTCTGTTTGGGACTCCCAGAGCCACGGGCTCTTGCACTCCTGTGCCCCACCTACATTTCCACTGTCTTTTTGTCAGTTCTTTCATGATAAAGTGAATGAAAGTGTCACAACTTCCCATAGAAAATTTGATTTGAACTCAACAGATTTGAAAATGATATATAATAAATGGTGTGTTTGAAGCTCTATTTTTATGAGGCTAAATTTTAGCATAATTATATACATAAATTATATACATTATATAATTAAAATTTGAAGTCGGAAGACTGAACCAGCACTACACTTTCCCTGATACCAAAAGGGGAAGCAGGTAATAAAAATTTTATTCCTGGGCGCCTGGGTGGCTCAGTTGGTTAAGCGACTGCCTTCGGCTCAGGTCATGATCCTGGAGTCCCGGGATCGAGTCCCGCATCGGGCTCCCTGCTCGGCAGGGAGTCTGCTTCTCCCTCTGACCCTCCCCCCTCTCATGTGCTCTCTCTCATTCTCTCTCTCTCAAATAAATAAATAAAACCTTTAAAAAAATCATTTTATTCCTCCATTCTCAGTCCATACCAAGAAACACAGGCTAACTTTCACTAATCAAAGTTTATGGTTGATGGAGTTTTCTTGTTATATATATATATCTGCAAAGATAAGCATATGAAGACTAGTTTCTTGTGATTACCTTCACCTTGGTTAATAACATTGGTAGCCAAAACATAGATTACTAATATACTTTTATATTTTTTTACTTAAGGTCAACATGATACTGTAGTTTTGAGTGATAGCACTCAGAAATTTTGGGTAGTACCTGGTAATATTCAGGGTAATCTGCTACTTCCTTATATATTCAAATTTGATAATTTTCATTTGCTTTTTATTTAAGAGACCAATCTCTTTGTTTCTTTAACATTTAAACTTTTTTTTTCTAGTTTTATTGAGACATTATTTACATATAATATTGTAGTAGTCCAATGTGTACAACAATGATTGTATATTGATTATATATGTATATCTATATATAATTACCACAAAAGTTTAGTTAACATCCATCATTTCATAGTTATAGTTATATTTTTTTCTGTGCTGAGAACTTTTAAGATCTACACTCTTAGCAACATCAAATACATAATTTGTATGGTCACTATATTCACCATGATGTACATTATATCCCCAGAACTTCATAATTGGAAGTTTTTACCTTTTTTTTTTTCATTTTATTTTATTTATTTTTTATTTTTTATTTTTTAAAGATTTTATTTATTTGAGAGAGAAAGCACATGAGAGGGGGCAGGGCCAGAGGGAGAAGCACACTCCCTGCCGAGCAGGGAACCCGATGCGGGACTCGATCCAGGGACTCCAGGATCATGACCTGAGCCGAAGGCAGTCGCTTAACCAACTGGGCCACTGGGCGCCCAAGTTTTTACCTTTTTTGACCGTCTTCACTCATTCTCTTCATTCCCCTCCCCTCCATCCTCCCCCTGCTTCTGGCAACCACCAATCTCTTCAGTTTTTTTTTTTTTTAATTCTACATATAAGTGAGATCATACAGTATTTGTCTTTGTATGACTTATTTCACTTAGCTTAATGCCCTCAATGTCTATACATTGGTATACAATGTCTATACAAGGTAGCAGGATTTCCTTTCTTATGGCTGAATAATATTCCAATATCTATATCTCTGTCTATATCACATTTTGCTTATTCATTTATCCTTCAATGGACATTTACACTTGGGTTGTTCCCATGTCTTGGCTATTGTAAATAATGCTACAGCGAATATGGGGGTGCAGATAGTGATTCTGTTTCCTTTAGATACATACTCAGGAGTGGAATTGCTGGATCATATGGTAGTTCTATTTCTAATTTTTTTGAGGAATCTCAATACTGTTTTCCGTAGTAGCTGTACCAGTTTACATTCCCAACAACAGTGCCATTTCTTTTATTTTAAAATTTATTAGGATTTATAATGGTTATATTATTATATATACTTATACTATATAGCATGGTGTAAATAATATATGATATAGTTATATCATTTAATATAAGGTATAATTAATGTTAATTTAATAGCAATAAAAAGTTAGTTAGAAGATAAGAAATTCAAATCAAAGAACCTATGTAAAACCTACCACAATTTAACTCCATAAAGAACTCTTATGCATATGGACTCATTTCTTTTCCCTGCCCTCCCGTTTTTAATTTTGAAACAAACACTGCATATTATAAAGCATAGTAAATTAGTCTCATAAGTTTTCTTAGCATCTTCCACATTTAATAAGTAGAAGAAACTTTTTGTATAGTATTAGAGAATCACATTTTGGTGTTATATCCATAAGTGCTTTTAAATAATCAAGGCCTTGTGAAATAAATTCTGCTCTCATAGATAATATTTCTAACCTTTAGACTAAGAAATAGAGCTTTTAAGGGGGGATTTTAAGCTGCATATTATATGTTTAAATAGCTGTTTTTCTTTCAAAGTGAAAGATTTATAAAAATCCCGGCTGGCACTTTTGTAGAAATTGACAAATTGATCCTAAAATTTATATGGAAATGCAAAGGACCTAAAAGAGTCAAAATCACTACTTTTCTATAAAAGAACAAAGTTGGGGGGCACCTGGGTGGCTCAGTCAGTTAAGCATCTGCCTTTGGCTCAGGTCATACCAGAGTCCTGGGATTGAGTCCCCACATCAGGCTCCTTGCTCAGCAGGGAGCCTGCTTCTCCCTCTGCCTGCCACTTCCCCTGCTTGTGCTCTCTCTCTCTCTGATGAATAAATAAAATCTTAAAAAAAAAAAAAAAGTTTCTTATGGCTTGAAAAAAAAA